TGGCTGGGGAAGGAGGGGGCCTTGGAGTATTTCTCTGGTTCAGGTAAATACTCTCTCTCAGACAGGGTACAAATTGCTTGGGTGAGTTCACTTTGTGAAAATTGGTCCGGTTTGTCATATGTCAATGAAAGATTTTTAAGATCTTTAGGAAAACAAAGAAAAGCATAAAACCCATGAAAATATAGGAAGGGAGGCAGACTGGATTTCATGAGAATGAAGAGCAAAGAGAAAACCAAGGGGCCTATTCATGTCTCCTGCAGGTTTCTTCAAGGGTTCTCTTCCTGGCTCCAACACTTGGAGCTCTTGGCAGACAGAAAAAGCAGGCTGCATGCCCATCTTGAGAACTAAAGGATTTTAAGGTTCATGTATTCTTAAAGTAACACTTGATGTTTTTATTTGATACAGTCAGGCAACCTCTGTATGTTCAAAGTTTCTTTTATGTTCTGTACTGACAGAGGCCTGTGGCTTTTTCTATTGATACTGAAATATGACTTTGGCTTTGTCTCCCTCTTAAAGGAGATATTTTAAATTGTTCAGCTGCAAAATGGAAAATTCCACAGGTTGAATTGTTAAAACTCTACTTGGGATGTACCAGGAAAAAAAAAAAAAAGATTCCTTCTCAATCCAGAATCCCTGTCCCAAGCAGATTCTCTGATGCATGCCTTTGTCTGTGTTGATTGATAGAAAGCATTAAATTCAGAGCTCTCACTGTGACTCTTCTCTCTTGACAAAGGGTCCTAGAGCAATTTATCAGTCCTCTAGGTTTGCCCAAGCACAGTTTGAAAGCCACTGGCACAGATCAGTGACAGTATTTGACAGATTCATGTACTTATTTACTATTCCAGCAAACATCTGCTGAATGTCTTGTGTCCTGGGAGATCTACCAGAAATGTCTGAGGAGAGACTTAGGCGGATCATTCAATGTCCTACCAGAAGTGGGCTACCACACAGTCATTTGAACCCAGGGCCCTTGTACTCACATGGTATCATTTCCTCCCCTACCCTGCTCTCCCTCAGACTTCCAAAATCCAGGCTACCTTCTTATGTTGCTTAAAACTCTTAAACACAAAGGAAGATATTTATAGATAGAATCCTCATCTAGTTGCAAAAGGTTCAAGGTTTGGTAAGGCAGGAGCCAGATGGTACAGTAAGGAACAATTCTCTGTATTTTCTCTCTCACAATAGGGAAAAGGGAGAGAAATAAGTTTTCTCCACCTTCTAACACCTCAAACATGGAGAACAGATTCTTATCCTTGGTAACAGAAGGAAACCAGAGAAGTATGTGGCTCTTTCAAAGGAAACATGAAAAAATAAAAATTAAAAAAAAAAAAAACAGTTCTAGTAACTGTTGGCTCTCAGTTTAAGTTTATCCCAACAAGACATCTGTGTTTTCCAATTGAGAGTGAAGTTTCAGTAAAGCATTCTTACCTAACATGACAGATAATTGGAATGCCAGGGGTGCATCTGGCAAAGCAGAGACCATGTCACCTGGAAGGACCTTTTTGACACATAAAACTATCTCTATAATACACTTGATGAGTGGTCATGCCACTGTTGAACAAAATTTGCTTCATGAAAATTCTCTATTAAATTAAGCCAAAGGTCCCTCCCTGTAATTTTGTGTCCTCATTCTGAATTTCGCTTTTGGGAGAAGCATATTACAAGTTTAATTCCTCTTTACTTTGACAGTTCTTCAAGGATTTAAAAACCACAAGCATTTACATTGCCTAAGCTGTTACTTGTCAAAATTAGAGAATTATCCCTATGATTACATTTAATTCCCCAGTCCTAATTTTTTCAAAGACTACTTACATGAGAAACTTAATCTTTTTTAAGAATATCAAATCAATATGTTTATTGTAAAAATAATTTGAAAATCCAGATGAATATAAAGACTTTTTAACATCACCACTAGAAAATAACTGTTGTTAATATTTTATTGTATATTTCTTTGGATGATTTTCTCTCTATATATATAAATATAATCTGTATAATTTAAAACAGGTCCATAATATAACACTGTTTTAAAACTTAAAGTTCACTTAATATAAAAGGAATATTTCCTTATCAAAAGTGATATAATTAACAGACTTATAGTTTTGGGAAAAGATGACACAGACTCATTTCTTCCTAATCTACGTACAGCTAAATACCCTGGGGATTACTCAACAGGCAACCATAAAGAATTATGAAAGATGGTAACCAACAGCCCAGGGAGCTCTGTACCCAAGAGATGGTGCTGTGGTGAGTTTTCTGGGTTATCATCTACCATCCCACATGACCCAGATTGGGCTCTGAAAAGACCTGCAACCCAAGCCACCAAGAGGCACATGGGAAACTAACAAGCCAGGAAAGTCTACTCTCTGGGTTCAAGACTGGGAAGTTGAGGAATCCCAACTCCTGCCCCACAACCAGCAGATTGTTCCAACAGAGCAGCAAATGCCAGAGCAGCTGGATCCCCCTTCTTCATGGGGCCCTGGGGGAAATCCCACTCTGGCAACAGCAGCAGGAATGAGGAGGGCATCATTTAGTGACAGAAGAGACTTTGGAACAGTAGCTTCTGCCCCCACTTCCCTAGAGAACCTGGACCAAGTAACCCAGGAAAGTGCCTTCCGGCCCTACAATGCCACCAGCAGTTCTGAGCAGAAGGCCCAGCTGCAGCAGAAAAACAGAGCTGACCAGAACAGCATTGCAAGAGCACTGAACACTGACATGTCATGGAAATGAAGCTCACCAACATGGGCTGGGACCCATGTAATAAACCCATATAAGACTACCACTTAGTAAAATAGAAGATTTAAATAACATAAGAGCCTACTAATATAACAAGCAAAGTGAGGTAAAATAAAAATAATTTGTGCCAGAAACCAGAAAAACCACAATTGTAATTAGAAAAGACAATGCAATAATGGTTACATTGAGTCTAATCATAAGTTAGGATTCTCTGCTAAGGTTTTTTTAAAACAACCCTCCTAAAAATGCTTCAACACTCATTACAAATCCTCCTGAAAGAATTATCTAATCTCAGCAAATTAATAGAAATTATAGAACTAAAAAAATTTTAAACAGTATTAAAAACATGCTGGATGGACTAAATAGTACAGTGAATAGAATAGTTAATAGTGAACTTGGAACAGATGAATAGAATGAACAAAAGAGAAAATAGACTAGGGGGAAAACTAACAGAATTTCAGGCATCTGGGGAGAATAATAAAAGATCTAATATCTGTGTCATCAGAGTTTCAGAAGACAAAAGAATGGGTGTGTAATTGAAAAAAAAAAAAGTCTGAAAAAATGCTCCAAACAAGAAAAAGGCATACTCCTAGAGATTCAAAAACCTGGGCATACTTCAAACACAATACACCTAAAAACCATGACACCAAGATACAAAATAATTAATTTTATGAAGACTAAAGAGAGAGGGAAAAAATTTAGAAAGCAGCCAGATAGAGAATACGTGACTCAATTCAAATGACACATTTCTCATCTGAAACCATAGAGGTCAGAGGAAAGGGACTCAACGTGTTTTCCAGGTACTGAAAAGAATATAGCTATGAATACCAATTCTGCATCTGGCAGAAATATCCTGCAGCAATCCAAGGGAATAAAGGTATTCTGAGATAAAGAAAAACAGAATTTGTTGCCATCACACCTATTTTTAGAGACGTGCTCTTAGGAACTTTCCAACAGAGAGAACGATCACCTAAGCTAGGAACCACATTCATAAAGAAAAGAACAACAGAGTAGCTAAAAAATTGGAAGTAAATATGCATTCCATGATTTTCTGGATTATTTTATGTTAACAGTATTTATATTATAACAATATGGAACAATATGGGCTGGGTGATCCATGTATGTGGAAGTACTTAAGACAATTATATATAATCAAAAGATAAAGAGACCTACATAGAAATAAATTGTTTGTTTGTTTTTTTTTTTTGGTTTGTTTCTTTGTTTGTTTTTGGGGGGTGGGGGTGGGGATTCTGGAGATTGAACCCAGGGGCACTTAACCACAGAGCCACATCAACTTTTTTTTTTTTTAGGTTTTGTTGTTGTTATTTTTGAGATGGGATCCAGCTAAGTTGCTTAGGGCCTCACTAATTTGCTAAGACTGGTTTCAAACTAACCTCCCTAGCCAGTGAGATTACAGGCAGGCACCACGGCAGCCTGCTGGAAGAAAGTTTTAGAGGACTAGGTATAAGGCTTAATGGTAGAGAGCCTGGGTTCAATCCCCTTTATACTTTAAAAAAATTTTAGAAAAAGAAGACAGCAATTAAATGGTAAAAATATCAATATCAATCAATTCTAGTAGCCTGTACTAAGTTACATGTATATGTTGATTCTTAGAGCAATCACTAAGGAAACTAAGTGAAGTGATGTATACAAAGATAATACAAATAAATCAAAACAGAATTCTAGAACCTTTTTGAACAGCTCACAGGAAGACAAGAAAAAAAAAGATACAGAAGAACAAGGGGGAAAAAAGGGAACAAACAGAACACAAACAGGCAGGCTCCAACCCTCTCATATCTATAATTATTTTACATCAGGATTCTGTTCCCCTTTCCATAGAGAAGAATGTGAATTTCCAAAATTTTAGACCAATTAGGCTCAGGATGATATGGGCAAAAGTTGTATGTAATGTAATAATTACATGTCAAATCAACTCAGTGGGGAAGAGGTGAAGGAATAAGATGGGGTATGTTGTCAAAGCCTATTTTATGAAATCCTATGAACAGATAGTGAGTTAGCCATTATTGATATTTTGATGCTATAAAATGTATAGCACTAATTGACTACTTATACAACTCACTAACTCCACAGTGCTTTATATACTTACCTAACATGTATATAGGTAAATTCATAAATATTTATAACATATAAACTTTTATATGTTTGCTTTTATGAGCTTCACATCAAAACTGTAAACTATTATTATTATCAACAGTAAAATTTGAAGGAACCAAGGCTGAGATTGACTTGCCTGGGGTTATACTGACCCAATTAAAAGCCTCAAAACTTCAGACCAGGTCTTCTGACTCCAAATGCCATCATTTTCTGATTTATTATCACGTACTTCCACAAGAGTTCCAGGGAATATGCTTACTTTCAGCATTCTTCAAAAGACTACAAGACGTGAGAAATCTAGGGATGTAGAGTTTACAGTGTTATAAACATTGATCTTACAGGTCCATAGCACCATAGTGAGGGAATAAAATCTTCCAATCATGGAGAGAAATTTTCTTAATACCCTAACTCCAACAGAGGAGCTTCTACTAAGTCCTTAAAACAGGACATTTTGAAAATTTAGTACACCTTTACTGAGCACCTGCTACATGTCATGAACTGTATGGGAAATAGAACAACAGAACTCCCTGCGCCATGAGGAACTGGATGAGATGAGCAAATATGTTGTTCACTGTAAAAGGATCCATTAGGGTAGTGGGTTCCCCAGGAGTACTAAGGGATAAGGAATTTGTCATAGGACTTAGACCCCTACAACTTGGGAATTTCTCAGGAAAAAAAAAATCAATGTATTTGTTAGCTTTTTCACTGCTATGACTAAAATATCTGACAAGAAAAATTAGAGGAGGAAAAGTTTATTTGGGGGCTCATGGTTTCAAAGAGACACCACTCATCAGATACAAAATATAGACCCTCTCATAACCCAATCATTTATTCTCTAAACCTTCTTGCACTGTCTCAGACACAAGCTCTGGGGAGACACTAGATATCAAACTGGAAGTGGGTACTGGAGGATCAGAGAAAAGGTCACTAGTCAGCCTGCCAAAAACCTTCATGGGGTGGGCAAGTCTGAATGGGAAGGGTATGCAGAAGCCAAAGAAGGAAGAGCTTATGGGGAGCTCTGGCTTTGAAAAGCTGTTGCCTCTGGGCAGCTCTGGCCTCTGCAGATCCATGGGTGTGAGCCTGGGGTCAGTGCTGCCCAGCAGGGTTTGCAGAGCAAGGAAGAAAGCCAAATGCAGAGCAGTGGAGAGCAAGGCTAAGCTGGACCCTGCAGGTCTCAGGGTAGACTGGCTCTGCACATTTCACCAGGTGAAGACAGCAGAGAATAATAGCAACAGCTCTCCTCCCACTTCCCAAATCCATTATGAATCCCTCGTCTGGCCAATTCTAACTTAAAACAAAAAGAAAGGGAATTCTGGAAGATGTAGGCCCCATCCTAGTATAACCATGTTGATGTTAGAGGCAGATAGACCAGGAGGTTGAAGATTCACTAGCATTTACTGTGTGATCTTAGGCAAGTTATTTAACTTCTATGAGACTCAATGTTTTAGTCAGCTTTTTCACTATTGGGACTAAAAGATCTGACCAGAACCAACTGTAGATGAGGAAAAGTTTATTTGAGGGCTCACAGTTTCAGAGGTCTTAGTCCATAGAAAGCTGGCTCCATTCCTCTGGGCTCGAAGTGAGGCAGAACATCATGGTGGAAGAGTGTAGCAGAGGGAAGCGGCTCACATGATGATAAGGAAGCAGAGAGAGAGACTCCACTCACCAGATACAAATATACACGCCCCCAATGCCCACTTCCTCCAGCCACACCCCACCTGCCTTTAATTGCCACTCAATTAATTCCATCAAGTGATTAATTCACTTACTGGGTTAAGGCTCTTGTAACCCAATCATTTCTTCTCTAAACCTTCTTGCATTGTCTCACACGTGGTGAGCTTTTCGGGGACACCTCATATCCAAACCATAACACTCAGTTTCCTACACTGTACATGAATTATAAAATATACTCCAAAGAATCACAAAAATCACATGAAAAGTTACAACACACACTCAAAAGGTTGCCTGCCTTCTCTCCCGCTTTGCTCCCCTCCTCTGGCTCTTCTGCTTTGGCCACATGTCACCTCTGGTCTCCTCATTACCTTGCTGAATACATAGACTCTAGATAAATGCTCTAAATCAAATAATTCTTAAATACGCCCTGCCCCTTTACTTTTTGAATAATGGATACCACATTTAAAGCATTTCAGTATTCCCTTTCTAAAATAGTATCTAAAATGAATTAAGAAGGTACCAAGGTCTGTATGTGAATATAAAAGTAAGGATTCAAGTGCTTCATTTCAGGTCTCTTTGGTGAGCAATGACTTCTCCATTCTGTTTTGCACAGCCCCCTGGTCCATCATTGAGGTTTGCGTTTTTACATTGAGTCCCTAGGAGCCCTTCTCCACCACTCCTGAGCTACTCAAGATGTTTGGCAAAGAGATTTCCAAGTGTAGGTGTGCATAATTGGGATCAGGTGGGTTGTCCTCTTTATTCTCCCCCTTTCCCATCTGTTTGGTTCCTTGCTTGACATTTATCATGCCAGAAAATTGATTCCAGACTAGAGGAGTTTCCCTTGCATCTCCCCAACCATAAACTTAAATTGAGAAACTAGCTCACACTGCCTTTATGTTACTCCTTCTCTCCATATATATTCCATTTTATATTATGACCACAATACTCCTTAGGGAAAAGTCAACTGTAATCATAAATAGGATTTTTTAAAAAATGGGAATGGAGAACTTGGGAGTGGGGAGTGCATGTGATGGGAAATATTAGCACATGTGCACCAGACCAGTTGGAGAATATTGCCTAGCGACAGCCAAGTTGAAGGAACTGACAAAGGGATTCCAACTGACCAGGTTTCTCCTGGAATTCATAAAAAGTCAAGATGACATCTTATGCATGAGCAGAGTAATCCCTAAGTCAAAGCAAAAGATGGATTTGCAAATGCAGTTTTTTTATGGCTGCAGAGTTGATGCTCTCAGAGCAATTGTGCATCATGAGTCCAATATGATGGAAGAAATAAGATGTGTGAAGCACTCACAAGAAAAGTATGAACTCACAGAACTTCCCAAAGCTCTCACCCTACATTCAGTCACTTTAAAAATCAGACTTATAACTTCTTTACCTAGGCAGCAAAGATTTCACAAAATTACACAAAGCAATGGATGCAAGAATATTTCTACAATAATAAATTCCCGTGCCAACATAAAGGATTTTATCAAACAAGATGGCATATTTGCTCATTATTTAAATTATTATTTAATCACTAGTGTTTACTATATTTGAAAAATAAATCTATTACAAGAAATGTCAACAAGTCATACTTAAATGTTATCTTCTTGCATCTATTATTATTAGGCAAAGTCAGGTTGAATTGTTCTCTCTAGTGTG